ACATAATTCTAACTATGTTAAATACATTTTCAATAAGCAATCTGGATTTATTCCATTAAGTTGGGTAAATCACTAAACTGATCACAAGAAACCAATGGTTATGAAAAAAATTATAGTCCATGGTTATTAAAAACAATGTTAATTTTGTAAAAGTTTAACCACTAAGTAAAAAGTAGTTATAGACGTTTTTTGGAACTCTAAAATTGAGGTATAGCATAAGAATGCTGCTTTCTTGGGGTACCTTAGAGGGATGAGGCAATAAAGCAGCACTGGAAGATAGAACAAAATTCGTCATTGAGATATCCTCACTGTTCAGAAAAATCTCGTTAGACTGCTTTAGGGCATCAACAATGCAGATACTGTATAACTAGAGCCACAGTATTTTTATTTTACCATTTTTAAGCAGTTAAAATCAGTGAATAATATCAAAATTTCATTTTTACTGAAAACCTGGTTTTTTGTACAGTTTGTATTGCTATACTAATTTATAAACAAACTGCGCTGCATAATACTAATGACTCCACATATGTGACAGGAAAACAGAAGAGCTTTAGTGACAAAACCTATTTGTAGCAGATTCAGTGGATTCCAATTCCATCAGTTCATAACTGGGTGCTTCTGAGATTTCATCACTCTGCACAAAACATTTTCATATTAATCGAGCAAATGAAGAACCGATAGAATTAGCATTTCATAATGCGTTGAATAAAAGATGATGTCAAAGTATAATGTGTTAGTTGTATTCGACACTTAATACATAGTCTAGTTACTGAGGAGAATGAACAGTAGACTCTAGGTGATCTTTTGGATGCCATTCTATATAATTACACTTTGTTTTCTTTGTCTTGAATGCCATTTCTAATAAAAGTAAATATAACCACAGGCTTTCTCGAGAGTGTCTATCCCAGATTTTTCTGAGACATCAACGAAATACCTGACTTAAGACCCAAACCAATAACTTATACACAACTTGAAGCAAGTTAGATCTCAGTTGCCGGTGGTTCATATTATGCAACAACAAAGAAGTGTAGAACCGTGATAAATCCTAATTTTTCAAGACATTCAGAATGCAACACAAAGGAGCTTTTAAGGACGTTAACAGATTGTATATTTTCTATCCCTGATCCATTCCTATATGCGCAAAATACCTGACAAATTAAGACAGCAATTGGATCAGTTTGTTTTACGGTAACAAATATGAACTTATACGACCCAATTAACTCAACTAACCTCTTTCATGCTCTCCACCTCATCATTTTCCTTAAACACTTCGTTCAGGTACCTTTCACTTCTGTTTTCAACAATCTCATTCACAAACCCGCCATTCTGGATCTCACTTTCACTGCCATTTTCAGTTATTAAGCTCTCAGTTTGCAAATTCTTCTCCTCAGATACTTCACAAGTAACATTCTTGATAGTCTCACTTCGCATCTCAGTAGTTCCGATTTCTGAAGTGTCGACTTCATTAACAGGGCTCTTATCGAGAATGAAAGTGTCCACTTCACTCATAACATCATTTCCAGTACTCGAAACCAAAACGGAGAGTTGGATGTTGTCTGAACTCTCGATTGATATATTATCACTAAAAGCTGTGGACTTAGAGTTTGCATTATCAGACAGGTCAGTCAAGCCAGAACTGGATATTTGTTTGTCTAATGTCCTTATTACAACCTCTGTTTCCCGATCGCCATCAAACACCTTCACCACACTCGGTTTAACTCCGTCTTCGGTTTCTATTTCGTCATCGGTTTGGGTTTCTTTTATTTCGGCATTTTTCGCGATTTCAGTCGGGTCCCCAAACCGAAAGAGAAGACTGCCGTCAGAGTGCTCTGCCAAGAAAATCATCCGAAAAACATAAAACATCACAAACAATGCCAAAGAACAAGGGTTGTATACAAGATTGAGCTCCACAAAATTTCCAATTCATAGAATTTTCACAAATTAATACATTGATATCTATTTCCATACTTACTCCAATAAAATAAAAAAATTATATAAAAAGATACGCAAAAAAACAAGATTCAACCCTTCTTCACCCACAAAAACCAAGCCCAAAAATTGAAGCAAACTAAATGTACTGCAAAACAGCTCTGAGTTAGCAGGATATACAAGTACGCATAAGGTTCCAAAAACAAATAAAAAGAAAAGCCCAAACTCTAGCATAACCCGGGAAATTGGATGATAGTTAAATAAAAATAAGAAGAAGAAAAACCAAGATCTATCAATTTCAACACAAACGAAATTAATGATTAGGCAACTTCTATAAGCGAGACAATGGTGGCGTGGGTCAAGAGCATATTACCGTGAGTCGAAACGACATCAAATTTTGAACAAAAAAGCTTAGATTTTGAAAGTAGGGTAATTTGAGGTGGACACGTTTTTCTTCTGCTGAATCTTGAATTGTGGGTGTGGATAAGTGCGGAAGGATGAAAATGTTTTGAAGGAGAAATTAGGCGCAAGTTATTGGTGGAGAAGAAAGATTGAAACTCCAACAACCTGCAGCAAGAATCAGCCATCGCTGCTGCTAAAGAAATGTCATTGAGCGTGCATGTTTCCGATAAATCAAGAGAAAANCGTAATTAATGGGTATTCCGAAGATGTTCTGATTGTTTTTGGGAATGTGCAGTAATTTTTGTGTGATGACTAATGACTGATGAGGGAATCTAGAAGAGTGGAAAAACAAGTGGTCGGAAGAAGAACAAGGTTCCATTTAGAAAAAAAATAATTAGTAACAAAACAAATGAACTATTAACAAGTCAAAACCATTACCTCTCTCTAAAACCTTTTCTCTCTCCGTAAGAAAAAAAAAAGCCCCAAATTGAAATTTCCCGTGCCTTCCCTGGCGGGGCCGCCGGTCTTCTCGACGGTGGCCGGTTCCTGGCTTGCGACTTGTACTTGATTAGCTATCGGATCTCATCTTCATTGAGCGGTTGTGGAGTCGGTCGGTCTCGAGTGGTCTTCAGCGAATTAGGGCTACCATCTCGAGACGATTTCGCCGGTTTCCATGGCGGCGAGGCGGAGGAGGGCTGTGGTGTTCTTCGGGGGTGGGTTGCGGCTCCGATTGCTGCGTTGGTGGTCGGGGCGGAGGTCGGTGGCTGCCTACTCCGCGGTTCTTTTTTCCTTTGGTGTTTAGGAAGAAGAGTCGGCTGTTGCGCCGGGCCTGGCCGTGGTGTGGCTCGGTCTGGGGTGGTGGTTGTGTGGTGTGGGGTGGGCTGTACGTCTGACCTCCGGCTGAGGGGTTGTGGTCGGCCGCCTAGGCGCGGGTCGTGGTTTTGGTGTTTCGATTCTAGTTAGGCCGTGATTGGCAGTTTCTGGTGTTGAAACTCGGGCCGTGGTCCGGCCGGTTGGAGGTTGATCGTGGTGTTGCCGTTGGGTTTTGGCCGGTGTGTTAGCCCGTTCGTGGGAAGGGCTCTTCTTTGTTTTGTGTTTTTTGGGTTTGTGTTTTGTGTGGTGTTTGTGTTTGTTTGTGTTTTCTTTTTCCTTTGTTAGTGTAATTATCCCGTATGGGATCTAGATTCTCCTGTTGGGAGTTAGGTATTCTCCTGGTGGGAGTTAGACTTTATTATCCCATGTGGGATCTAGATTATCCTGTTGGGAGTTTTTTCATTATCGTGGGTGCGTTGTGGTATTTAGGCTCCTCCGAGATGTCCTCTCTCTAGATTCGGCTTTTGGCCGTACTCTAGTTGTAATTATGTGTGTTAGTTATAAAATTCCTATCGTTTCGAAAAAGAAAAAACCTGTAACTAAAACTCTATATACCTCAGTCNTAAAATAAAAAAACATGAATAAAAATGTATTAATGAAATTTTATTCAACAGATATGACATGATAACCACAATCCTCAACTGTCTTTGTGCTAAAAGACAGTAGTTATCCGTGATTATTATCTTTATTTCTACAATTCCATTAATATATATCTTTTTAATAGTGAAAAGGCACAACATAACCGTATTTTTTAGTAGAATTGAGCACTTTTTATTATGAATTGCCATGGTAATAAAACAACACAAGCAAAAATATGTAATTAATATTTATATATATATTAAAAAATATGACAAGTCAACTTGAATAACACCTATGAGATTTTGTTTCATAATGACATCATAATGTTGAAAGAAAATAGTATATGTTAGCATTTAATATATTTTAAGAGATTTTGTTTCATAATGACATCAAAATTTTAAAAGAAAAAAAAAATATATATATATATAGACATTTAATAAATTTGGAAATAATGTTATTTCATAGTTTGTTTTATAAGAGCATCTCCAATGTTATAGCTTTGAATGACAATATTTTTAACACATGTCAATCAACGATTATAATATTAATCCATGTAGGAATAATGTTAAAAGAGTAGAAATTTGAATCAAACCAGTATCTCCAATGCATCAATTTGATAAGGAGTTATTTGTATATGTGGACCAATTAAAGTAATTATTAATACAAGAACAATAAAAAATTAAATCAAATATAAAGTGAATTGATTAGTCATCATGTTTAACATGGTGTTAGATATTAGAAAGTGTGTTCAACATTGTCAACATTAAATGCTATCCACCTCATCATGAAAGAGTTCATGACAAGATGCATTGGAGAATAAATTAGTAATACACTTTCAAAAGTTAATGATATAGATGAATTTTTATGAAGTCAAAAGCCACATTGGAGATGCTCTAACAGTTAAAGGAGGATTGAAGAGGAGTTTCCCCTGGATGGGCTAATTCGATGCTAAAGGTAATGGTACTGCCTCCATCTCCTAAAATTCTGACACGTGTCCATTCTGGTTTTTTAACTATTTTATTTTTTAATCCATTAAAATATAAAACTTGTCAACCAGGGTTAAACTATGGTTAAAAGAAAGATCCCACAGCAGTTGAACTAACCTCATTGATTAAAATTAAATAAAGAAATTAAACCCTGATTCCCAAAATCATCCTCAACTTCAAAAAGAAAAAACAGAACACTGCCTCGCCGTTCCGTCACCACCCCGGCAGCCCGTCACCACCTCGATGCCGCCCGGCCCGTCACCACCCCGGCACCACCCCAGCGCTCCAACTCCACCTGGCGCCTCGTCACCATCGCGACGCTCCGACTCCACCAGCGCCTCGTCACCTCTCGGCGCTCCGTCTCCACTCCGGCGCCCCGTCACCACCCCGGTGCTCTGACTCCTGTTGGGATCTGTGAGGATCTCGTTATGTACAAATCACGAATTCAATAGCAAACGTAAACCTATGCGCAGCGGATCTAAAGGTTTGACGTAGGGAACTTACGGCTTAAAATTTATGTAGATCTGGTTGACCACGAACGGTTGACCGCAATTGATTGACCGCAACACGCGTCTTGGGTTGCACGAACAAGATCAGATCAAAACTGGATCAAACGGATGCAAACAGATCAAAACGAAATTTTGCTGCCAGACTCCTTCCGGCGGCGCGTGAGGGCGCGTGCGGCGTCGGATTCCGGCGACGTCGGCGGCGATGGAAAGCTCTCGTCGAGACGGTCGTCTGGGTATACTGTACGTCTCAATCGGACTTCCGGTTAGTTCTGTAGGTCAAAATCAATTTCGTCTCGGTTTACCTACAGATCTTCTACTGTATTACTCAATACACCCTTCTTCAACTTGTACCAGTGGAGCAACAAGAAGAAGATAAAGCTCGAATGAGATCTAGAGAGAGAGATGGTTTCACGTGAGAATGAGACTTCTATTCTCTTCTCATGAGCTTAATGATGTATATATAGAGCTACAGTAGGGACCCTAAGGAGATTAGGAAAAGGGCTCCTTAATTAATTAGACTAACTGTGGGCCAAACCCACTCCTCTAATTAATTAAATAATATTAATGGGCCACCAACATTATATTATTGCACTCCCTTTCCCTAGCCCAAATTACATTTGAGACTCCAATAATAATTACTCGATTTACCTCCCCACGTTTAAGATATAATGTCCATTAATTAATTCGATTACTGACAATCAAGAATTAATTAATTTATTATTATTTCACCGAAGCTAGCGCTCGTTCATCACATTCTTATTATGCCGGAATTTAATCCACCTGCAGGGTTTAGCATAACAATCCTTCATGAACTCACTCCGGGGACATCATCAAACTAACGCACATGGTGACCGTAAATATCCTAACAGCACATCCTATATATAATAATATTACCCAAAACAGTAGGAATATTAATCCAGCGAACTGAACCTCACCCATGTGAATCAAAGTAATATATATTATATATATCTGCCTGTTTAATATCTTACGGGTTAAGAGAACGCAGTAATTAACCGAGGCCTAGTTCATTTACGACGATCAGTATAAAATGAACTTCTCCTCTCTGGGATCCTGTTCAATACATAAATGTACTAGTGCAACTAATCAGTCAAGACAAACTGTACAGTTGACACTACAACCGTTCGGATGGGGTGTTCATGTCCATCTAGGTTGTGAACAACTATTCTTGTTCGCAAGTGACTGACAGAGTGATCTTCGGTTCGCCCGATGACGACCCACCCTATCTAAGTGCAGAACAACAGAACGTAGAACTTGTTTAATCTAACATGATTCTCATTCATAAAGGGTAAATGTGTAATAACATGCAAAGCCAAGCTTTCAGTATATAACACTAACAATCTCCCACTTATACTTAAAGCTTTCGCTTTTACAGTATAGTCCTATCAATCCGTTATTCTAAAAGACCTATGTCGATCCTATCGCCATGCATCCTCTGATGCAATCTTGGCAACATCAACGTCTCCTCTACCAACGATATCCCGAATCAGATGGTATTTGCGCTCTATGTGTTTGCTTGCCCTGTGGGCTCGAGGTTCTTTTGAGTTCGCTACTGCTCCACTGTTATCACAGTACACGGTGATACCACGTGGCAAACTCGGTATAACCTCTAAGTCCACTAAGAAGTTCCTGAGCCAAACTGCCTCTTTCGCTGCCTCTGAGGCTGCTATGTACTCGGCTTCCATGGTGGAGTCTGCCACGCATTTCTGCTTAGCACTCCTCCATGAAATGGCTCCACTTCCCAAGGTAAACACATAACCTGAGGTTGACTTACTTTCATCCCTATCTGACTGGAAATCAGAATCACTGTAACCCAGAGGTAACAAGCTGTCTGCACGGTAAACTAACATGTACTCCTTAGTCCTTCTCAGGTACTTGAGTATATGCTTCACCGCAGACCAATGTTCCCGTCCTGGATTACTTTGATATCTAGCTACCATGCCAACGGCGTAGCTAATATCCGGCCTTGTGCATAGCATTGCATACATGAGACTTCCTACTGCCGAAGCATAAGGAACTGTCTTCATCTCCTCTATCTCCTTAGACGTCTTAGGAGACATCTCCTTAGATAAAGGTATTCCATGTCTAAAAGGTAACATACCTTTCTTGGAATCCTGCATGCTAAATCTGGCCAAGACAGTATCTATGTATGAAGACTGGGATAAGCACAACATTCTCTTCTTACGATCTCTAATGAGCCTAATACCAAGAATGTGTCCTGCTTCACCTAAGTCCTTCATATCAAACTGCTTAGACAACCACACCTTTACGTCTGAT